ATGTATGTATGTATGTATGTATGTATGTATGTATGTATGTATGTATGTATGTATATGTGTATATATGTATGTAAATATATATATTGTTTTACACATAAAGAGCTAAAATTTGGTTTAGCTGTAGCTGAGCATCCTCCTAATAGTCATTCCTGTCTGTCTGTTAGCAAAATATCTCCTGAACCAATGAACAAAGGTTAATGAAACTCTCAGGAAGTACTTAATGGATATACATGTACAATAGATTAGGTTTTGCAGTTGACCCTGTTTAAGATGGCCACCACAGCTAAAGGAGCTTACCAAACACACACATGGCTGTAATTCAGTCAGTTTTACACATATTGAGGAAAGACTTGGTGTGGAGGTGCCTGAGAGTCATCCTTCACAAATACAATAAGCACTAATCTTAATAGTAATAAACAAGCTAATTAACTTGTTAATCATGTTTTGAAAGTATCTAAAGAACTTGGAGCTAAAGTATCAGTGCCTGAGTGCTGAACTGATCTGCATGTCCTGCTCATTACTATACCTGATACCTGAATGATAACATTTAATAATTTGCTTATTACTATTTTCTGTTTTATCAATACATTTCACACAGTTTTACATATTTTATGAAAGAAAAATAATTAAGACAAAATAACCAAAACAAGCAACAACAACAAAAAAAAAAGTCTCCCAGATTATAAAAATAAACTCTCTGATGAAAGAGGAGTTCTATTTCTTCCACTTCCTGCCAGGAGAGCAACAATATGTTGCTTTTATTATTAGGCTCAAACTCCTCCTGACCTATTCTGAGCTCAGCTGCCCACACACCTCTATAGTCCTGTGTAAACACTTGCCTCGGCACACACACACGCACACACACACACACACGCACACGCACACACACACACACACACACACTCACTAGTCCTGAGGCGAAGAACACGGCCAGCAGCGCGAGGCAGGTTCCCATGACGATCAGCAGCAGGAACACGATCAGCGGATGCTGCTGGCTCATCCTGTAGTACGACTCGTACAGCCAGTCCTGAGGCTTCTCGCCCTCCAGGCACACCTCGCTCTGGAACCCGGGGCACCCGTCCCCCAGGCTCTCGGGCCCCTCGGCACCCTCGCCTCCATCGCTCTTGTCCAGCAGGTAGCGTCCGCGGGTCCACAGGGCCTCCTGCCACATGGGTAGCTGCCCCAGGAGGGATGGAGGGTGCTGCTCTCTCCCTGACAAAAACTTCACAAAACAGAGGATCCAACAGGGGTGAGGAATGTTTCCTCACCCACACCCTCCTCCCCCCTGAGAGTGAGAGTCCACTGCTGTCCCCCTTTTCTTCCTCGCCCTAAAAAAGTTTGCTCAGCCTTGACTGATCGATGGACAGCTGAGTTGAGAGCCAACTTTCCAGCTCCTGCAGCTTCTGCCGCATCCTCTGTCGCTCCTTCTGCTCGGAGGTGACAACTGACTCAGGACAGTGTGAAAATTAACCCTCTTCCTCCTCCTCCTCCTCCTCCTCCTCCTCCTCCTGCTGCTGCTGTCACTGAGGCTGGTTTGAGGCAGGATGAGACTTCAGTTCTTTCCCGTCCAGGTTTGTGCTTCTGATTGGAGCTGGAGAGCAGGCAGCCTCTGCACACCGAGGCAACATGTTCCTCTGCTGAGGTGCAGATGAGGACTGAGAGAGGAAGAGTTTAACTGGGAGGGAGGAGAGAGACTGTACTGTTGTGTGCTGGAGTGCGTGTGTGTGTGTGTGTGTGTGTGTGTGTGTCTGTGTGTGAGAGAGAGAGAGACAGAGAGGGCTCATGGGTAAAATGTGTGTGTGGTGTGCCTTGTAGAGACGCTGGATCTGTGAGAATAGTGATGTGTGAGCAAGCAGATATGGCAAATATGTGAAAAACTGGTGGATGGCTCAGGAGTGTGTGTGTGGTGTGTGTGTGGTGTGTGTGCGTGCACATGCATGTGTGTTTGCACAGAGTAGAGCAAAAAGGAAGTGACCCAAGACATTAACAAGAGAGCGAGAGAGAGAAATGAGAAAAAGTGTGAAGCTGGCAGAAGCTGGAGGGAAGGAAGAAATGTGTGTGTCATCATGTGTGTGTGTGTGTGTGTCATCATGCTTGTGTGTGTGTGTGTGTGTGTGTGTGTGTGTGTGTAAAGCAGAATGAAAGTGAGTGAGAAGAGCTGTGACAGCTGTGCCAAACAAGAGCAGCAGCAGTGTGGAAGGAACGAGGATGAAACGCCGCCCAGCAGCCAAGTGGCAGGATAAGAAGAGGGGCGAGGACCAGACTGAAAACACACGAAGCAGGAGGAAGGAGCGGGAGGAAGGAGCGGGAGGAAGGAGCGGGAGGAAGGAGCGGGAGGAAGGAGCGGGAGGAAGGAGCGGGAGGAAGGAGCGGGAGGAAGGAGCGGGAGGAAGAGGATGTCAGAATGGGAAGAAACCCCACAGGAGACAGACAGAGTGGGAGGAAGAGAGATTAGAGCTTCAAAAAAAAAAAAAAAGAGAGAGGGGAGGATAATGAGTGAAAGTTTGAGAGCGTCTGGCTGCTCTCTGGTTGTGGGAATAAAAATAAAGATCCCATGAATCAAAATCAAAACACTCCTCTCCTCCCTGCTTTTATTTCTTCTCCCCATTTGCCGTGCCGCTCGAGGATTTGACTATTAGACGTGTGAAAAATGTCTTTTTGGTGTCCCAGATTCAAAGTTGCCTTTCGTCACCGACCACAAAGAGCATGTGAGCAGAATGCGAGCATGCGAGCAGAATGCGAGTATGTGAGCAGAATGCGAGCATGTGATGCGAGCATGTGAGCAGAATGTGGGGATGTGAGCAGAATGCGAGCATGTGATGCGAGCATGTGAGCAGAATGTGGGGATGTGAGCAGAATGCGAGCATGTGAGCAGAATGCGAGTATGTGAGCAGAATGCGAGCAGGCTGCAGGTAACAATGAATGCAACACACACACCCCAGAGTTATTTTTAGACTCCAGGCTTCATGTTTTCAGATAAAAGCAGATGTTACTCAGTGTGAAAGTGAAGATCCAAAGAGTGGCCAGTGATTACAAACTGCTATTATCAAAGCAAGAACAACCTCAGAGCAGCTTTAAAACGCTCGTGTCTTTCAGAAACACCAACGTGGACGACGACTTTCATCAAGCTTGAAAAGTTGCAAACAAAAACTGAGCTTTAAAATTGATGTCAATTCAGATTGAGGTTTGTTGTTGCACAAACATGTTCTAATAATTAGGTGTTGAACTGGTTTTAGAGAACAATAACAACAAAACGATAATAATACCCAAATCTCATAATCTGTTAAATAATCTGGCTCAGCTATAACTGTTGTAATTGTTAAGATTTTTTTTTTCTTGTGGGATTTTGAACAGATGATTTTCTGTAGCCTCAAGTTCTCAAATCAAAAAAGACCTTTTTGGAATTACTCACATTTTGTCAGGATTTAGAGAGCCGGAGAATTTCCTGCTTTTCTTTCCTCTCTCCTGCTCTCTACGGTGTGCAAAGTATATTTCAGAGACACTGAGTATGTGTCAGTGTGTGAGTGGGAAACACTGTAAAGAGCTTTGCAAATCTATAGAGATTAAAAATGTCCCATTTCTCTGTTCCTGTCATCTCTCAGGTGGAGCTGTTTTTCATCTACTCATCAAGAAGCAGCTTCCTTGTCTCCATCCACA